CGGGGGGGGGGGGTGCTTTGATCTCTTTTTGACTCCCACTCCAGGGAAATCGTTCCCTCCCCACTTGGGGACACGGTTTGGCTTGGCGTCGGCCAGCTTGGGTCGGGCTGTTTTAAAGTATCCCTCTTCTTACGCTTCTTTTAAGAGAGAGAGAAGGGTGAAGATGGAGGCCGTGTTAATCCTTCGCTGGGATGGAGGCCTTTGTGCCCTCCGGCTCTAGGTGCAAATGAAAAAGGAGGAAAGCCGGAAATCAGTGCAAAAGCCGAGGCAGAAACTAGGGCTGGCCGTGCTTGGGGTGCGAACCAGTGGAAGATGTGATGGGAGAGGCAAGCGGACAGGTCCTTTTGGCGTCTCTTCGCTCTCGGCACCCTGCCGAGCCCTCGAAACCAGCCACTAGCTCTCAGAACCAAAGCCCAGCACTGGAAAAACGAACTCATCCTTCTTTTGCCACCCCTTGAACGTTAGAAAGATATACTGCAATTGTCTATAAAACATTCATAACTCCAGTCCGGTATTATCACCTCCTCTGAGGTTTGTGGATGGCTTCCCCCCCCTCTTTTGCTAGAGTGGGTTTTTATTCTCTAAAGAAGGAAGAACAAGGCGAGGGCAAGATGAGTGGGGAGAGAGGGAGGGGAGAGGAAGGAGAGGGAAAAAAGCTGGGACAGCCTGTGGGTACATATTATTTAGGCTTTGCTAATTAAGGAATGGTTTGCTGCTGCTTCGTGCGCTCTCGCACTCTCTTTCACTTCTTCTCCCCCCAAGTCCGCTAATAAATTCACATTAAAAACCATCTTGACCTTGGCCGCGTTCTCACAAAAGGGTCCGGAAACGCCCACCTCATTTTCAGGTCTTGTCACTGCGGACCCTGACAAAGATGCAGCGACAGAGTGGTGGGCGATGAAATCGTTCCCAGAGATATCCTGCCTCCATGCAATCCATCCTCTCCCCTTGCTGCCCTCCCCTTTTTTGTGTTAATTAGGATTTAAGAAATAAATAATAACAGTGATTCAGTCCCCACCCACCCATGCAAAACCTCTTCTCCAAAATCACGCTGCAGTTGCCCTTGGTCTATAAGATTCTCCTCAGATTAGAGGCTCATGCTAAGATGCACCACGAGTGGCCAAGGAAATTGACAAGACCGGGAAACTGACTGGCACGTAATCCAGCTCAGGTTTGAAATCACAACCCTACACACTGCTTATTCAATAGTCTAGCTTGCTCCCAGGCAACCGAGCACAAGAATGGTCCCTTTAGAGTTCCAATGATTTCTATAGGAAAGGTTTTATATGTCGCTTCTGTTGGAATGAATGGGCTTTAAAATCTTCAGTTTTTTTTTTAAAGGGCAGTACCCATAGTGACTTAAAACAAAACAAAAACAGTTCCTTTTGTAAATAACATACATGAAAATTCAAAGAGGAAAAGATGTTCTAGATGCTCTGAATGCAAATCATTGCACAGTTCTGTGGGGTGCATGTGGATGTGTACACACACGGAATTTAAGTTTATTAAGTTTTGAACTAAGTTGAATGACTGGAGAATTAAAAGCTGGTGTTGAATCTGTATCTTAGTTATTATTCATTTCCATAATCAGAAGGAAGGAAAGAAGAGCTTAAAATATTTTAGCAACAACGATAACAGTTGTACTGATCATGAAGACACCATACAGTGGTTCAATGCATTTTGAAATATGTTTAAAATATGTTTTGAAATATGTTTAAAAATATGGTTAAAACATTTTCTCCTACAAAAAAATCATTTCTAACATCAACAAAATAATTAATATCCATTTAAAATGTGGGTAGAGGGAGAGATTTTATAATAACTAGACACAATGCTATGTATCTGTATTCTGAAGTGAATCATTGACTTCAGTGGGTCAATAGAATTGCAACCAAAGTGTGCTTTCCCCCAGCAGAATTATTTCTTTTCCCGAGTGGGGCAAGAGAAGAGGTGGCAGGGGCAGAAGAACATATCAAATGGTTTTTCTAAATGTTTGTGACCCCACCTTAAAAGAATGAGGTTGTTTTAATGGTGCAGGAGTTTCCTTGGAAAACCAACATTGTTCCCTCCCTCCCTTTAGTTTTTCCATGCCTGAGGTGCAATGTGAACTCTTCACTTCGGTGATAAACAATTTGGATTGCTTCTCACTTAAATTATGAACAAGCTAAATAAACCCACTTCATTAGATGCCTTTGCTGGCTTCTAAAGCTAATTAAAAGAGGCTTTCCTTGGAAGAAAGGGCTTGGTTCGATGTTTAAAAAGCTACAGATGCACGCTCATTTAAATGCACTCAAGCAAGCAAAAAAATCCTTCAAGTTGTTCTTTCTCTCTTCCTTCCCCCTTTTCTCCTCTCCCCTCCCCTCCCCCTGCATCTCTCTCTCTCTCCCTCTCCCTCTCCCTCTCTCTGTTCTAACAAGCTCCCTTGGAACAGAATGATCACCAAAAGACAGAGCAAGATAATAGAAATGGCTTTGCCTTAAAAGGCTTCCCTAAATCTACCTTTACCACATTCAAGAAGCAAACTATTTTTAGATTCTACTCTCTAAAGAGCAACACTTTAGTAAATCTTCCCCTTTTCTATAGCATTTGTCTATTACTATTTCCAACAGGGTTACAAGAGGACTAGCTCTGTCACCATCCATCTCTCCAGTTAAACATTTTCTTCCCCTTTCATAGAGGCTGATATTTCATTCCCAGCTTCCCTTTATCCTGGAGACTGGTGATCTTTCAGTGTTTCTTTCAATGGGAGAAAAATCAAGGTAACTTGTTTTCTGGGCTGGCCATTCATACTTTCTGTTACTCTTGCTCCATTATTGATGTTGTGTTCAGAGAACAGGAGGAGCTCTTACCTCCCTCCAGAGCTCTGGAAACGCTACGACTGACTAGCGAAAGCTGAATGAAGAGAAGCTGCAGGGCCTTCTGTGCCAGCTCTTCATCCACTGGTGAGGCTGGACTTAGTTTTTTCTTAAGTCCTAGGGCCTCCTTCCTTCCCCTGTGCCTACCTGGTGCTTCTTGCCTCATTGCCT